CGGGGGCATTGGAATCCATTAATACGGCTTCGGTCGCGCGCAGGTTCATTATCGTGCATTAATTAGCAACACCCTATATCACTACGCTGGCAATAGTATCGGTCCAGCTTGCTATTTCGTGGCTAACCACTGGCTCGTGACGTCCTAACCGCGCGATGGCAGTCGGCGTGATCCGATAAAAGATGACGGTTTATTTACCGCAACAAACAAGTAAACGCGCAATACAGTGTTTGCGATATTTTTATGTTATCGATGTATACCGGAAATGCTATCGCTGCCGGATGTTTAGATCTGTTATAAATACCGATTATCGTAGTACTACATTGAAATACGTAATTAATTTAACGTATTAAAACTTAAGCCATTATTCCAAAATTATTTAATATTGGAAATTAAAATATTGCGACGAATAATTATTATATTTTTGTGTCTAATTTTCCTATTTCGAAGAATTTATGATATAATCTGAAATAAATCATTAAGGATTAGAAACAGCTGATATCTTGTGAAGCAAAGATCGTTAGATATTCATCCCATCTAAATCGTGATTTACGAAACTCTTCCCTCATCAATCCTACCAACGCCAATATTTCGGTAGTCGAGTGCCTTTTACGTCCGCTATTGGAATTCGGATGTGACCGGCTACCGAACAGTAGCCGGCTCGAAACGAGTAACGCGAAACTTTCCACTCAATCGTCGATCCCGCCGACAAACGAGAAATGATACGAGTATCGCAGCACGATCGCAATTTCGCGGAAAAAGGACCATATACATGATATCGCATATAGTTATCGCGCGCTTGTACAATTTTGGTATTTGTAGTAAACGTAAAAAAGAGTGTTTCAAGCTAGGATTGACAAAATTTATAATTTACAATATTCATGTCAAATATAAAAATCTATCTACAACTAATAGAGAGAGAGAGAGAGATTCAGTGCATTCTAGTTCTGAACTACTTTATTCATTGCTCATCGCGAGGACTGGAATAATTTCTTGCGATAAAAAGGATCTACAGAAAGTGTGTTAAGAAGAAATTGTAAATTAACGACGGGGGAAAAGAAACTGTTGCGTGGGAGAGAAACGAAGGAAGACTTGAAGAAGTAGCGGGTTCAAAGAAAAAGAGAGAAAGTGATGGCGGAAACGAAACAGAGTGAAAAAGAGAGGGTGAGGGAAGTTGGAAGGCTGGAGACACGAGATGCGCGCGCGAAAGGAGGTGCAGGACGAGGAGGACGAGAGGAGTGCGACCAGAATTGGATAGGATAGGCGAACTGGTGATTACAGAGGCCGGGGATTCCCCGGGGATGAGCGCCGGACTCCCGCGGGCTTCCACCTAATTCCATCCTGGCTGACTACTGACTCTGCTTCTCCCTCTATCTTTCCCTCTATCCACCCCGCGTACTTATTGCCTCTCTTTCTACCTATAACCGTTCACCTCTGTTGACGTCTTTCTCTCTATCTCTCCTTCTATCTAACGCTTCGCGGTGAAGCGCTTCCTGTCCTCTCCTTTTACCCTCCGCGTTTGATCAGCCCTCAATCCTCTCCCTCCCTCATTCGAACACGCGTTTCTCCCTCTCGTCGTTTCCCTTTCTACATCTATTTGTCTCGCTCCCTGCATTTCTCCGCACTTCCCTGTTTATTCTGCATTTACAATTCGCCTCTTTGTCTGATTCGCTGTTTTCCCTCTTTGTCGCACTCCTGTCACTTCTCCTTCATCTCCTCCACTTTCCACCATTCTCTGTGGCAACTGTGTTTCAGTTATCTGATTGCACGTATGCTTTCGACCTGCTCCAACAATCCAGCACCCTGGCATGTTGGAGCAAAAGTTACCCAGAAATTTCTACTATTCTATCTGTCTCTGTTCTTCACTATTCATCGCGTTGGATTGATGTACAAATGCCGCGACTCAATAATTGATATTGTGAACAAAAAAATTGAGAAAGTTAAAATCTTTTTGTGAAATCAAGCAATTAGATAGGATATATACATATTTTCTCATTTAAAAAACCTATATGTAAAACTAATTTATAAAATTAGTAAGATATCAATCAATAATCTGACATAATTCCTTAGCAAATAATATATTTATATACTCCTTGTTTTGTACAAATAAAAATAGAGAAACAGGTAAATATATGAACAAGTGTATGAAGGGCTTATATATAATAACACACGTGCATCCGACAAACTTTTTAATTATATTTTCTTAAAAATAAAATTTTGCGTAAAAAAATATTTCACATTTTAGAATTTGTATTTATTCCCTTTTTAATTATATCACGAATTAAATCCCATCTCGTATTTAGCGATCAAATTAAATTATAAAATATTATGATGTAAAATTACAAAATATGATGTACAATGATAAAAATGTTAAAGTTTTCAAATTCTGAAGCCACTTGAATAACTTTGTCTTTGATAAATTTTAATTACTACAATGTTATAAATTATAGAGGTAGAATTTCTGTGACAAAAGGTTCTGTGGCTTTTGGCAGTCGTATCGTATGTTACTTTTATGTCTGGATATGGTTGCACGTGCCTCGGAGTTTTGTGAAGGACGCTTTTAGCCCGACTTCTTTTTGCCCTTCATACACAAAAGTCTTCACACAAATGATTCTTGCGAAAAACTTCGCTATTATTTGCGTGTCTTTCTAACATAAAGAGAACTCATGAACCTTAATCTTGTAAAACAGTTGCCACCCAGGGCAAATCTTTATGTTTGACTTATTTTGATTTTTTTTTTCAAGTTTATTATACGTAAAACTTTATTCTTTCATGATAGATAAAGTTTGATATTATTATAAATTTTAATGAATATTTAAACAAATAATGCCTTTGAAAATATAGATATATCAAAATATTATATATTTATCTTATTTTAATTCTAATAATGTAAAAATCTTAAAAATTTCTAGATCTATATAAATACTCGTTTTTTAAAAACATTCAATGACAAAAATATAAAAATTGTATCAAATTCTCAATATACAACAGTAATTTACAAACATGTCAAAGAATTTGCCATTCAAATATTTTTTGGCAATGACAAATAAAAGTAGCAGTATGTATAATAGGTTATGGTAGCTTGGTCATATCATTTGTCATCATTTATAAATCTTTTTTACTTTTTATTTCTACGAATCATTGTCGAGTTCGCCAATCGATGTCGAGAGGAAATATCAATAATCGAAATATTCATACCGAGTAAATCTAAAATATATCATGATGACTTACGCTTGAGAGATCGAGGTTTCGCCTGTTTCCTCCTGGACATATCACCGCACTGGCACGCACTTGGACGGAGAATCAATAGCGGCTCCTCACCGGCATGTCACCGCGCGCGGACTGCACTCGCCGGAAACCCGAATTTCGATGGAACTTATTATTCGCGCGTTTGCATGGCTTTTACATCGATGATTTACGCCGTGCAATACGTTTCTCCGTGCCGAAAGTGCAATTGTGGAAACGAAGCTCGAGTTACGTGAAGTTACTTCTGAAAGTTGCGCACTTTGAAACTAGTCGATCGAGAATCGAATGCGACTCAACTAGCACCACGTGGTCCGCAGCGCGCGAAGGGCGTATGTAAGCACGCCTCGCATGTATACCAGCGACAGTCGCGCTTGGCAGACGCGCGACGAGTGACGTTAGGTATAGTCGCGTTTACGGAGAACCACTGGCACGAGCGTTGCGCAAGCGTGTCATCCGCGCGATCGTCCTGCGCGACACTTACCGCCCCTGTTTTTTTCATCTACGTACGCAAGATGTTAATAAAGAAAATAGACATACACTCGGAAAACAGATTTGTTTTTCTCACTACGTATACTTTGTCTTATTTCTTCACACGCATAACAGTGGGATTTGCAGATTCTTTAATAAATTTAGAGTCGATTTTTCCTGATCAAAAATGCCCAGAAAGATTATCATTTTCCGCAATTTTTCAATTTTTAATGTCATATATTCGGCATAACTAAGCCTCAAATTAAAATTTCATTAAAGTCTATTTTACATTAGCTGAAAAATGCTGTGTTATGTTGCTTGTTTATTCGCTAAATTACTTTTTCATAGAATCGCTTATAATTTTATTTTTGCTAAGAAAATGTCAAGATTAAATTGATTAGAAAATCTGTTGCTCAAATTGAAGTTGTGCGATATTTTTATGTATTATTGACAGCCATAAAAATCATATATACACTACGCATGCATTACGATATTAATATTATGAGAAATGAGAAATATGAAATGCGCTCAAACGACGAATAATTGAAGTTATTTTATACGATTTTGTTATGTGTTCTCTGTCGGTATATTATCCCTATTTATGATAATTATTTCTATTAACGGTAAAGCAGGAATCAATGATAAAATTTGTTTAAAATCTTCGCTAAACGGTGTGATAATAATCTATACAACATAACCTAGAAATTATCTATTGACGTTTTTATATCGATCGTTTTGATATACATATAAGTATATTCGTATTAAATTCATATTGAAAGGCTTAGTTTAGAGACGTAAATGATGTATAATATGAATATGATACAAATTTGGTACAAATAAAATATACGGTGTATTTCACATCGAACTGTTATGGAATGCGTAACACAGCAAGAGCTTACTTTGTACATTTCATCTGTAGCAAATTCGTATCATATTCATATCGTACATTATTTATACCGCCAGATTAAATCAATAAATCTGAATTTTGACACATAGTACTTGGCGAGTATGTATAGAAACTAAGTCCATGATGCGATAAATGTTCATGGTGGTTGTACGTTAAATAATTGTTGGAGAAGATTGCATGCAAATAATATTTATAGATTTATGATATTTCCTTCACACTTACTCTAATTTTATGTAGTAAGGATGTCTAGTTTTAGAAAGTTTGCAGCGGTGCAGTACATTTCACAACAGAGTTTATTGTAATCGCGATGCTTTTTGTGACTGTGACTGATTTGAATCTTTCGAAACTTTACGAAGTATTAAAATTTGTCCTCGAGAGGGCAGTGGTGTGCAGTGAGTTCGTCACGTAGGTGTGCACGTAAATGACGCACAACGAATTTTTTAAAGAACGTTTTTTTTTACATCGTTAAGATCATCTGTAATTAATATTCTCTCGTAGACACCTTTCAACACTTATTTACTTGAGGTTGTGTATGCACTCTTTATTCGTTTACGCTATCATACGTAAGTTGCAGGTTTCTTTGCTTAATATTTGTTTCCACTGTGTTGGGGTTAGAATAAGATCATTTTAACTGTCAAAAATAAATGTTAGCAAATATAGAATATAGGAATTTATAGTTACGTTCTATCATTTTGTCAGCTCTAATTTTATTTACGACCTGATGTGAGATGCAACATGACTGCAGTATTCAATATTCTGCATTTTTTATTTACAATTTACTTATTGTTATCTTCTCTATATATTTTGTTTTCTATTTTATAACAATTTTTATAATGAAATTGCCACTTGATCTCATATAAGCTGTCATTTGTAGAAAATGTTGGCATTGGAACGTATTCCTGATCAAATTGGATACTTGGTATTAACTGAGGATGGTGCTGTATTAACGGTAAGAAAGTACTTATGACAATATCTTTGTATTTATAATAATAAATGGAATATTTTGTTTGTTACAGTCTGGAGGAGATCTAGAAAATGATGAGAGAGTGGCAAATATCATTATTAGATTAGTCAGATTGACCAATAACATTGATCCTAAAGCATTTCCTACACATGATGGATATGAAAAAATATCAATCAATTATAATAATCATTGCTATGTTATTTGTCTCTCTAATAAGAAGATTTATGTGGTAAAGAGGCAACAGCCACAATCTACTACAGCAGCAGTTATTGAACAACAGCCTACCATTGATGTTTAAGTATGGATGAAAGCATTGCACATAAAAGAATACATTTATTCTTTGTAAATTGTAGATATCTGATACAAGTTCCATTTTTTCAATTATTGTAAGAGATATATTGTCTTATATTTGTAGGAATTCATATTATAAGAATAATAATTAATATATGTTATATAACATTAGGAATAGTTAGAAATGTGTTTCTCTATTAGATGCTGAAATCTCAATTTTTTAAATAACATTCTTCCAACATGTATTATGACAGTTATGGATATGATTATTCTTGAAATATATTTCTTATCAAAATAAATTGTATTGCTTTTTATTCTTCATTTAATATATCTCAATTTAGAGATTTTATCATTAAATTCATTTTTATAACATTTTTTATTAATAAATATATAATATATATAACACATATACATGTCTTTTTCGTAATTATATAAAATGCTAAAGTATTAAGTATCACTTTCAGTACTAGAACTATCATAATTCACCAAAGATGTGCTCGAATTACTGGATTTGGAAGTAGTAGGACTGTCTGTTATCTCTTGTATTTTTGGCGACATCTGATTTTGCATTTTCAATCGGTTATTTGAAGAAGCAATCTTTTTTTTATTATTTTTAGATCTTACAATTGAGACCAATTGTTTTAAATTTGTGCTCTTTTTGTGTTTTGCATCTAAAAAAAAATATTTAAATATAAGTATATAAATATATAATACTATTATATAATATTAACATATTAATATATAATAACTATATTAACTATATTAACTATATTAATATATAATAACTATATAATAACTATATTAACACACTTAAATGCTAAATAATCATACCTTTTTTATAAGTGAGCAATTTAGCTAGTTTAATGTCATCCTTATGTTCATTTACTAAATTAATATCTAGTCCTGTCTTTTTTAACAATGTATGATCCTCAGATTGTTTCTTCTTTAGTTCCTTTTTCTTTTCCTGTAATTTAAAAAGTATGAATAAGTAAAAATTTAATTTTATAATTAGTAATTAAATATTCTAATCACAAATCTAAATTATAAATACGTTACTAGAAAATAAATTTTAATACCCGAAATAAAGCTCTCACTGCACAATTTGAGCTATAATCATCTTTCCAGATATTTTCATTCAAATTTATCACACCTTCCAATGCTGAATCTCTGGATTTAGCTACTTTTTTATCTTCCATACCATGTTCCAATTTGTACATTGCATCATCATATAATCTACATGACACTTCTTTTGTTTCAGGCACTACTTGTTCATTCTGTGTAGGATCCCATCGATTTTCTTGACGTCTTGCACCACTTACTATGACATAGTCCAAATTCTAGAATAAAAAAAATATTTTTTAGATTAAGTGTCACAAAAACAACAATTTATTTACATTTAATATTATTATCACTTGTGACTTACAGCAGGATCAGTTTTTATCTCAAAGTGGTTGTCGCAGAGATGACATTTCATGCGAAACTGATATAACGGTGTGCTATAATACATTCCAATCTTTGTCTTTTCAGCATTATATCGAACACCCATGCCAATATGATTCCCACATCCATTACACCATATATTATAGGGCATCTCAAACCGTATGATCAAGATGCCCATATGGAGTTTCCGAGCTCGCTCACGTAATGCATGAGTACCTAGGAATTTGTTGAGACCACCGGCACGAGGATCATAATCCGGTGGATAATACAAATTTGTTCCCTTTCGTTCTCCCATTATGCTGTAAATAATTCATGTAAAAGATAATTAATTATGTAATTCAATGTTTTGCAGCATGTAGATTACAAGTAATTATGTCTACAAATGGGTTATAGATTGTAATAATCATCCATAATGTAACTATGGTTAAAAAAAACAGTTTAAGATATGTTTACATATGTCAATATATAAAAAGTGATGAAAAAGACAACAAAACATTTGCTCTGTCTTGTAAGTATCTGTATGTAATAATTCATTATTAAAATGTAACTATACCTTAATTTTTGTTCAAATCTTAGGAGAAAATGTAACTAAATTTTATGCTCCGAAATTAATTTTTTTCACGATTCCATTAACAACTTGTCTTACTGACGTTGATCTATTTCTTTTACACTACAGTACAATATAGGTTATAGAATACTAGAATGTCATGCAGTAGCGCCACTTAATATTATTTTTGAAACTACATGAGTAAGCAATTTATCATATTATCGATGGACGATAATACCACAAAAATTACTTGGACGCGATTAGACACGATAGTGTACGTATAGTTATAGACAATAAATATTTCTTGGATGTAGAAAAACTAAAATATTTCATAAACAAAAACAGATAGGCAAACATATAATAAACCGTAGCATTCTATATAAATATTTTAAAACAAAAATTTTGTGCAATTACTTATCATAATCAGAAGAATTCCAAATATAGTTGATAAAATCTCTACCAAGAAAATTCCACTTGTAGTTTTTCAGGAAAAACAAATTAATTCGTAAAGCTTTTTTGTGTTTTTTTTTAAATCAAATTTCACAAACAAAATGTTTTATTCAATTGTAGCTGTCCTTTGAAATAAATGTATGACTCAAGATAATCAAATTATTTTTGAATCTAGTGTTTACTCATTATCATGAACAAACTTAGAATGTAAGTAAGTATTCTAAAAAGTATTCTAAAAAGTATTCTAAAAACAAAACTGCTGGTTCTTTGATAAACAAGTTGCTTTAGATATTATTAGACATCCATTTAAAAAAAAATTAATAAATTTACGAAAATTAGCACACCTCGACTTTAAAGAAAAGTCGACAACAAATTGACGAAAATTAATTAAATATATAAATGTAAACTTGTAAAATAAAAAAAGCAGATAATTCGATAATAAACTTAAAATCTTCGCCTGACAATGACAACTGCTAACGATATGAAATGAGCGCTACATAAGATATTTTTAAAATCTTAAATAATTAATATTTTTATTATACAAATGTTGTTCTAATAAAATTAAAACTTAACATAAAAGAATGTATAAAAGATATCTAATACAAAAGTAATTTTACATTTATTTATTTAAAAAAAAGAAACTAACATAAATATACATAACATTTAACTAATTATAAGACCTTTGTTCATGGCTGTAAGACATCGTAGATCTCATCGTAGACTTTCCTTAAGTAAGACTTACGTAAGTTTAAGTCAAGTCCGCTACGTTCACAAATAGCGAACAAAGGAAATGCAATAAGCTTAGAATTTTTATCACAAATTAAATTACAATACATTATCGTAATGCTTGTTCGCAATCCTAGTTAACTAATGAGAAATTATTTAAATAATTTCTCGGATCAAGTTTTCAATTCGGCTACAGAATCAAAAACATAATCATTTTTGTCAATAAGCCGGAATATGTACAAAATATTCGGAGAAATAAATTCAAGCTCAATAAACAAGTTCTCGAAGATTTTCGAGATGTTCGCTATAAAGCTGTGCGACACACTTTTGTGTGAACTATGGACTTCAATGCTGCATAAATTTTCTTTTAGACTTGGATGTTCTTTTGTCTTAACTTCAAAATATCGAATCCTATATATCCCTTTTTGCCGGTCAACTCCTCTCTCGTATTTCCTGAAATTCATGCGATTGCCGATACCAAAAGCTCTTATCGTCTATAATGCCAATATGGTAATCTGTATCTGTATCTGGCCGGATGTGGATAATACGTAAACGCATAGACCACTGCAACAAAAAAGTACATGTGCATATATTAAAATAACTGTTAAGTCTTTTGGAACATGTGATACATTCAGAAAAAATCTGTTCTTATTTTTATTAAAATAAATATATTATTTCTATTAAATCAAATAATTTAATAATTATGGGAATATTATTATTCTCTATATCTCTTCCTACCAATTATCCTTAACATCATGTCAGTACATTGTTAAGTAGGTATAAAAAATCATGAAGATTGAAGTACCCAAATATTAAAAATCTTGGCACCGAAATATTCATCATGCTCACCATGATGATTGATAAATCATTCATAAATTTTTCCAAAAGAATGATTTTCCGTGTTCGTCTATCATTTATTTATATCGCCGCGTTACCTGTTTTGATCTTACTGATGAAACCTCATCCTTTGCACTAACGAGTGACGCGCGAGCCGTTTGTCAAGTGTTCGCCTGTGAAGAACGTTTCTTTTATGAAAGTGATCCAACATGCCGAGGGGTGACGTCGGCATGAGTGATCCTTCACCGTGCCAATAATAAGCTGTCGGCATCGGCTTCAGAAGGGATATCCTCAGCGGACCGCCCAAGCTACCGTGAAGATCGTTCCCTAACTGAGGGTATCTGTGAAAGTTCACGTGCGGCTGCAACTTGGGCAAATCAAGGTCATTTGAATGATCTAAGAGAGGCCTTTTCAAGGATGAAATTTGAGGCTCGGTGTCGATGGACAGACTCGTGTACACCGACGTTCCGCCGTCGTCATGCGGTAGCTTGGGCGAGTTCAATAACGGATTCGGATATTGATACTGCTGCACATGCAACGGCGAGTACTCCACGCTCGGCTGGATGGACAAATTCGGATCGCCGAGATTCGGGATGTAATGGTGCGGCAGTGTGGTTTGCGGTAGCTCTGGCTGTTGATAAGCATTGTTCTGAACGTAGTTCTGCTCATAGTTTTGCACTGGGTTGTTATAATTTTGCGCTGGATTGTCGTAATTCGTGGAATGGTCCGGTGCACCGTAGGTCGGACTTGGATGCTGCGCCGGAGGATAAGATTCCACATCGTTGTTTTGACCGACGACGGCCTGATCCTTGAGTCCAATGCTACCTTTCGGCAAGCTGTTGAAAAAATTCGTAATGGCGGAGCCCTTGGCTGGACCGCCGAAACTCTCTTCTAATTTGGTCAGATCTGATGTTTCGGACACTGCCACATTCGTATGTTGCTCGTTGTGTCCGTCCAGATCAGATTTCATTGGCGTTGCGATCAGCAGGCCGCCCGCCTTGTCTGTGAACGTGACGTCTGTCAGTCTCGTCGGTGAGCTTATTCGGTGCTTTAGTGTTAAGTACAAGTTCGTTAGTCAAGTTGGAGCATATAAGCAGACACTGTCAAAATTGATTAAACACGTTGAGTGCGCCAAGGGTATCACAACGTGTCGGTCGAGCAAGTGCCAAGTGTGAGGTTCAATTCATTCAATTCAGACATCCAATAGTACACATATTCGCAGGAAACTACAGAGTTCATCGCAGTAGAAGATAATGCGTAGGACTTGTTGTTTGACAAACGTGAATTTCGTGAGGGACACAATAACAACGTAGAAGAATGTTTTCCATAATTTTTCTCTGATACAATATCCGAATTATCAGATAATCATCATAAGCATTATTTTACCAAACAGTTTCTAAATAATATATATTTTTGCTAAAAGAAAAATTTTGACATGTTATTTATTGACGCCATATACAATAAAAGTATGTCAGAAGACAGGTTTTATCGTAATTGCCTGCCAGGCAACTTTTGGGGAAAGTGAAAGATCGCGTGCTGGTACATGTACGAGGTAGGGAATCGTGAGAGGCATTCTTCCGGAAGGAGCACATTGACATTCACTGCGCAGTTCGACGATAACGACGTGCGATACGGAGAGGGAAAATTGAGTATCATCAAGCAAGTTTTAAGGAAATATCGAAAGCGTTGACACACGCCTTCTGGTAAAGGCAAAAATATTATAATTGTCAGCTGGCACATGGTAGCGGAATTTATTTGTGAAAGCGATTCTCGATTTCTATATTATACGTTTAATAAGTTATAAGAGAGAAAACGTTTTGTATTTAACTATTGTAAAATCGAGAAAAATAAGGCTTGTTGGTTTCCAACTAAAATTGTTATTTTTAAAATTAATTGCTTAATTTATTGCCAGAAATATTAGAAGAAAGTAATTAGATTCGTTAGCACGTAATTGCTACTTTGAATATTAATTGCCAGCATTGTAGAAAAGCACAAAGATACAGAAATGGAATACAATCCAAAAATTTTGCAATGTTACAATTATTTATATAAGAATGAAACCTACCATCTGTCGGCAAGCCATAGACTTTGTGTACAGTATAATCATTAGGTGCTCCGGAGTAATCATCGGAGCCTGGCAGTGGTCCTTGGTAGTGAGAATCGTGTCCTGTTGTTTCGAAAAATAATATATAATTATGCATTAACGTTAACACGAAAGAAACATTACATTATTGCATAAAAAAAGAAGTAAAATACTTAAATAGACTGTAATTATAAGACTGCAGATGCAAAATACTATAAATAATGAAAATCTCTTTAGAATGTGCTAATTTTATACAAGACAAGTTAAATTGCTGCGAACTTTTCATCGATTATAAGCTTTGATTGTTGTTGCTCCTTGAACAGATCTATGAATAATACTGGTTAGGCATCGAACGTGTGATTATCGCAAATATCCTAGTTGAATTGGCTCGTTGCTAAAATAACTTTCTATGTGGTCTGCTATTTCTAAGTATAAAATTACATCTTCGATCGATTTCCACAACTAATCGATTTGTACGAGGCGTAGATAAAGTGTGCGTACAATAGAAAGCAAATCAAGTTTTTAACAGCATATGTTTTTAACAAAATATGTATTATTATGTGCAATCTCGTTCTTCGACAATTTTCTAATTGATCTATTGCTATCATGATCGTAAAAATTCGATAAATTGCTCAATAAAGATTGTCGCTTACCTATATTTGGCGGATGATCGTAGTAAGTATCCGGTGGATAAGGTTTCGGTTCCGTTATCGCGCTAGCCGCCAGCTTCTTACCGAGAGATGTGATAACATCCCCGGCTTTGTAGAAAACTTTGCTTTTACCAGCTAACAGGTAACTACTGCCCTTTACTAATTGACCCTTCAAAGCTATTACGCCGCCGCCTATCGCTTTGAGAGCTTGGAATAGCGTGCCGAAAATCGCCTTCTTGAAATCCCAAGGTCCGAAAGGTTTCGCTTCGTACTAGAGAAAAAAAAACTTACATCACGTCATTCTTGTATAATCACACGAAAAATCAACACAAATTCAATCTTTTCATCTTTCGCTCGAATTTTCTGTTTTGATTTCATTTTCTAGATAACGTTGAATTTAATCATTCATTATTGAGTAACGCGTTTCGCGCAATAAAAATCATACATTATGCATTATTTCTCCCCCCTCCCAAAAATAAACGAAGTAAAACGAATATTTGAATAAAATAATGATTACCGAATAAGTGTGTTCTGCTGGTGTGCCATACACCGGTTTCTGCTGACTGCTACCCACCGATGCTTGCGCTGCGGAACCACTCGATGTACTCGCAATGCCACTTAACACTCCACCCGCTATGCTAGTCAGAAGACTTCCGGAGCCGGCATTGTAGCCTCTTTTCACTCTCTCCTGCATCATCGCGGCGAATTTCGGATCGGCGATAACGCCGATCGTTATCATCTTTTCGTCGTCGATCCGCTTTGCCGCGTCCGTTATCGTTTGTTCCTCCGTTTGTTCCTCCGTTTGTTCAGGGAGGATCTCAAGCACTTCCCAAGGTACACCCTGACTATCATCGTTCTTTCCATCTAAATTGTTTTGATCCACTGAAGCTTTCCATGCCTCTAACAACTTAGAGACATCGGATTCCTCTGGAGTCTCCGCTATTCTCCGAAACGGTGCTAATCGCTCGAGCTGTTCGGCCGCCTTCTTCAACAACGTTTCCTGCTCGTTCTCCACAGCTTCCGACCGAGCCACAATTATTAAGCACCATGTAATTATCAAGAGTTCCGTCAACTGAAATGCACGACGAAGCAACAAGCACGGTGAATTACAATTTACTAGTAAATTTCTCGAACATTAAGCGATTATCTATTATATCAAGTACGAAGAAAAATTACGAAGCACATATAAAATATTGTTATTATTTTATATAAACAAATATTATCAATTAATTAAATATTATCATCAACTGAGCGACTACATGCGATAGCATTAGATAATTAATGATAAATATTTCTAGAGGCCGCGATATTTAGGGTATTTCGTCATAATCAAATTATGTTTTGAGGGTCAAGTGTTGATTTCCGAATTGTTCAAGCGTGGAGTGTATCAATGCGAGTGCCGCAAGTGGAGCGACTCCAGGTGAAAGTCACGCGACTACCGGCGAGTGCGTTGTGAATCGCCATACATGACTTGAAGAAAAGATCGCGAATGATGATTTCACGTAGATACCATGACACCAATAACATTAATTGCTAATTTAGTAATAAAACGCAGATTTAAGTCGCACAATTATCATCGTTTTCTGTCGAATTTTCTGTTTTCCATTTTCCTTGTTCCGGATTCAATATCGTAATCGCATTTTTCGTGTCAGCGAACAGAATCATTGCTTCGTCAAACAACGAACAAAAAATGAAAGCAGCGATAATTTCGGATTTCAATAATTTGGAGGAAGAGAACGCACTGAGACGAGAAAAAATAGAATCGTTTCAACGGGAATTGAAGTATCTGAACGAACGAGAGTGATCGCCGTAACCTTGATCTTGCATGCATAGAGCCATCGGCTGACCTATTTTGCCTGTGACCACTTAGCCGTGCGCATTCTTGCCGATTTCTAAAAAACCGCGGCCAAATGATCGCTAATAAATATTCCAACTTCCGCAAAATTGCGTCTTTCAAACGAAAGCAATTCTCCTTAGCAAAATAGAAAGGTGCTGAACTAACAATGACAAGATAAACTTCCGGAACAGAGGTCTTTGTGGAGATATAAGACTCGCTTGCGTTATATCACTCGTTTGTCAACGCTTTTTCACTTTGTCACATTAGACGTGCGTTGTCATAGTTTAGAGGCGATTTAATTTAAGAATAAATTTTACTACGACATGGAAAAAAACACAAGCGCCAAAATTTAACTTTCTAGTGATTTTATAGTCAATCCACGAACTTTTAAAGTATTCATAAACTGTCTAAAGTGATGATATTTATGAATAATTCATACTTTCTCTTTGCAAATAAAAACTTGTTAATGATAAAAACTGACACATATACGATGAGCCGTTCAAAATGATTTAAGACATAGTTTTAATCAAAGGAAATTTGTAATCATATGCAGAAGCTATTCAGTTACATTAAATCTTTTATGCTCTCATTAAATAATTTAACTCAAATTAATTCAAAGTTTGTCTATGTTCTATGGAAAGTGAAAAAAATACACGGATACAAACTGCTTTCAATAAACGTATTAGCTGCAGTAATTATCTCTCTTCATGGTTTGCGATCTTTGTTAAGGAACTGTTCCGCATAATTCTCCTCATTGTTGCATGTGAAACTCACTGCAGCGAGTACGGCAAAGGAAGGTTACGGTCAGAAAACTTTCACGTGAAAAAGAAGGCGTCTTGTTCTCGCGTGGCATAGCGTGAAATCCATTTACGGCAGATGATAATAACATAAAAGAAATTAGTAGCCGAGTATTCGAAGAAACAATTCCATATCGATCATTCGAGGAAAAGAATTATGACGATTTTCAATTGCTCATCGTCAAATTTGCGAAGATTTATTCATATTTTGTAAGAAATGTGCTGCGATCAATAAACGCTAATCACATAAAATAATTAGACATGAATGAAAAATTAAGATTAATAATTAGTCTCTGATATTTCTAATTGATTTAAATATTAATTAACACTTCACACATCTGCACAAGAGAAATAGAACGATGCACAGTGATTGTGAAGCGCGTACCTTCATATTTGACTTTCGCGGTAGAACGGTGAAATGATCACGGCACTCTCACTAAACTCACTGACCATCGCTATGGAATATATCCTCTCTTTATACGAACTCCCACTTTGCCGATCAACAAGAAAGTGACATCTACTTTGCCGGGTTGCGTCTGTCAAATTTCACGCACGTGCAATTATGTTGCAACATACAGATTTATTAAATATTTATATAGGTAGATTTTATTATTTTTCATCATGCAAAATTCGAATTTTAAATAATTAAAAAATAAGAAAAAATACATCAATATATAAAGTCAAAATACTTTCAACTTTGTACTTTTTCTGATATTAATTAGACTTAATTTTGTGTTAAATTAATGGTCATTAAATGCCCGATTAAAATTATGATTTAAAATCTATGATTTTATGATCGTTACAATGTACTCTGCGATTTTAAACGCTGTAGCTGTGCAACAGGCAGCTGTGTCAATATTTCTAATATGTATGATTAAGTGACAATTACATTGACAAATAATATTGACAGGCAAATAAAATCACATAACGTGGAAGATGCAACGATACATTAGAACGTGTCGTAAGATGAAACCATACGAATGCCATCGAATAATACGGATGTTATTTCCATTTTACTGTGTCAGGCCGCAAAGCGTTGCATCCTGGAATCGTTAATTTACTTTCTTCAAGTTTCATCGCGTTAACAAACTTGTTACGAATGCGGGCCAAAAATCACGGTGTAAAATGTCATTACGTATTGTACGTCGGACGTACTTTGTAAAATGCATCGTAGAAAGGCGGAAAAGGTAAGACTTGAGGTGTCATTTTTTATTCTCGAGTCACATCACGCGAATGAAAGTCGCCGGATGCGTACTATCTTTTTAGAATATCGATCTCGCTTATTGATGCATTTATCTCCATTTTTCTTCTTTTCTCATTTGTCATATGATTAATAGATAGCGAAAGTAAGAACATCTTACTTTTAAAATTATACTTATAAGAAAAGGATGATATGAATAAAAAGAAAGAAGAGAACGCGGTAAAAGCAGAAAAAATAAGAAAATTTTAATAACAAATTTCTCACAAAATAGCCGTCAATAATTTTAACTTAAAAAAACGTTTCAATAAGTAAAATAAAATTTTTGCCGCTTGTATAAATGTAGTTATTTTAAAACACTGGTGATTTATATCTTTAATTTTTAACACTTCAAAATTTTGTTAAATTATAATATTAAAATTTTTCATATTTATCTTGATTGTGAGTTAAATAATTATTTAATATATCTGACAACAGTCTTGATAACTTTTATTTTTTTTTCAAATATTGTCTACGCGGAATAAAATCAAAATTATGTGTGATGATCTTTTTATCCTCTATTGTCTTTTCAACGATGTGGAATAGAAAGTATGTTGTTAACAGACGCCAACTTATGTCCCGATTCGCGGAGAGCGGAGGGATTCGATTAGTCGTAGATATCATTGAAGAACTGTATTTTATGTTCCGCGTATTAACAAGATAATTGGTATCATCTGTGCATCGAATTGTAACGACTAGAAGAGATTTGAGCTTAATCGTTCATGGGCGTTTCTCGAGTTACTCTAAATATCAAATTTGCATCACAAATAATCCATTTCCAATTTGCAATCGCTTTGCAGCGCGTCTTCGCCGCATTATCAATTATAATACTTTTATGCAAATCTTAATTGATCTTGGTATTAAATATAGTATTTATGTTTGAAAATAAAAAAATACGTAAGCTGATGTCATTTCATTAATAACAAAAAACAATAGAGATGCAGATAATATTAAATCAATAGAAATAATTATATTATTTTTTATCCTTTTTGTTTACGTTAATCCTTTTGGTACGAAACAACGCAATGAAAAAACACTCATAAGTTGGTGTCTGTTAGCGATATACTTTCTATTTCACATTGTTAAAAAGACAATAGAGGATAAAAAGATCACACATGATTTCGATTTTATGCCGCGTAGACAATATTTGAAAAAAAAGTTATCAAGATTGATAGTCAGATAGATTAAGTGTGGCTGAAATAAAAATAGTAGTAACAAGCGCTGTGGGCGTATATATACGTTCACAGGCCAAAATAAACTTCTTTCTCTGAGTGCATATGTGCGCCAAGAGTACTCAAAGGATTAATGCAATTCAATTTATGCCACTATGAGATAGCAAAAATTGATTGATCGCAACAGGAACGGTAAAAGCGGAGTTCTCAATGAAATATAAATAGTTCAGACAGTATGTGTGTGTGTGTGTGTATGTGTGTGACATAAGACATTCGTTTATTTAACATGTTATGTTTAGATCTTTGTCTGTCGTAACACATTGCGAGATATTTTCACTTACCTTTCGACGTTTCGCTTCGAATTTTGACAACGGCAGTTCTTCGTGAATTGATTATTGATTCTGCGGTAATAGCAAGTGTTACACACATATTATCTAAAAGACAAATAGGCACTCTGCGATTATTCCGCCATTACATTTTAATGCAATATAAAAAATCGATGATAAATTAACGATAGAAATTATAGATACTCGTCAATTACTGAGTAACAAAAGAAATAATATTTTTAATCCACAATTCTGTTCCGGACAACGAATATAATTTTGTGATCGTCTATTTTTAATAACGATTTTACTAAAAACGATTTGTCAGTGAGAAAGGACGAAGACGGATATGGTAGGCAAATATTAATAAAATGCATATTGGCATAGTGAAAATATGTAATAAACATATTTTATGCAATATATGAAAACTTATAGATACACAACACGGCTTCGTCACCACCAATACCACCACCATTCCCAGCACCTGCTCCACCGCCAATCACCATCATCAACCGCCTTCATCTCCGATCGAATTTTTATTAATATTATATTAATATTGTAATATTAATTTTTATTTCACACAAAAATATAAAAAGAAATAATAATATTTTATCTATAAAAATATAATTTAATATTGCCTATTGTAATAGTGAAATAGTGATGTGATTATATTATTTTTCTATTTTTTTGAAATGGAAATAACATTATAAACAATTGCATGATTAAAAAAATGGAAAAATAATTTCTCAATTCCCAAATAAATAAATAAATCAATTTTTATTTTTTATTGAAGATCATTTATTCGACTGAACTTCTCTACTCTTGGGGGAGAGCGGATCGGGTGATGTACAAGTTTTTAAATCATCTCGCTCTTTGGCTGGAGGTGTCAGCTGAAGGGCAGGAGCGGGACGGGGGTGGTGCAAAAATTCTCTCCTCTGTCACGCTCACTTTCGAACTAATTTCCATGTTACGTGTTACAAATCAGTGCGCTCGGCGTACAATCGTACAATCCAAGATTATATCATATATATACAGAACAATCTTAATCCGCTGAATCTGGGTAAAGAACGCGCGATTAAATTTATCTACCGCGGCTGGGATTGTTTTCTCTTTTCCGTTCTCTTCCTTTTTCGCTCTTTTCTCTCGTTACATTTCTCTGCGATTTCACACACGAAACTCCGTTCCGACACAAGGTTAGCTCCGATCTCTCGTTACATACGCGTTCTTCGCGTAAAACAGACATACCGGTTCTTCGAAATTAAGAATCGGTTCTGAACCGACGTCGGATCAATTCAGAAGCGATACTTTAACGAATAAACCCTTTTGCACAGCCTTGGCAGAGCGACTCTCTTCGAACGCGCGAATTCGCCCCGAACGTTGCGTATCTACACGTTTCTTGGCGCGAATAAGCCAACCGCGATAGAGAAAAAGCGAGAGGCGGCTTCGATGAGAGATCGCAGGATTTTATTTTTATCGGCGGACAGGTGATAGAGATTGAGAATCTGAGGGATCAAGATATTCGATGATATTATTCGTGCGTAGTCACTCGATAGTCGAAAGACGAAGGACGAAGTATGTGCCAGGCAAAATCGCGAAACTCCGGCGAGAGGATCTCAAGCGATCCTTCACGGATATGCGCTCAGCATTCTTTTACAAGCGATTTCAAAACTGCTCGGAAAGACTCTTCGCAATACTGAGCTCCTTGAAATTCTATAAAGAGATAGATACAGATGGATCACGCCAATTACGTTCAGCAATGACGAAAGTTAAGAAGTCGATATACTTAGAACCAAATTGTGAAAAGATCAAAGAATGAATGTGTGACTCCACTATTGCGTCGTCATTTGTCTACTGTTTGTCGCAATTTTCTTACAGATTGGGAAAAATAGCGGCGCGCGCTTATTTTCATCGAATGACAAGATAATTTCAACGGACTCTCCTCACTTTTTCTTCCTGTCCAACTACGGAATATCAGTAATGAAAACTAAATAGGAGAAATCGGATGTTCTCGAGACGACATTACTTCCGGGACGATATTTTCCCCTGCGGGAAACTCCGAGATAGAATTTCACTATACGGCAACTTTTCGATCGCGATCCTCCGATTATGATATTCTTCGAGCATCTCACAGTCCCTTGCTTTAGAATTAAAGGAGCGACGCGTTTGTCTTGCACAGCATAAATTTATAATTGGGCGCAGACATTATGTATAAAATGTTACATATGTTTCCCCGTGAAAGTTGTAACGTGTTAAAATACCTTTAAATGTAGTGTCTAAATCGTAATTGCTCGCTCTCGAGGAAAGTCGGAATTATCGTTGTCGAAAATCCGCGACCAATCGATGTCGCGTGGCACTCAAGTGCTACTTGAAGTTTACACGCAAGCGAGAAAATTCCTTGATTACGCACGTTTCTTGTTTCGCGCTTTGCGCGCTCAGCATCTTCGCCAGTCTACTTCTGTCTGCGGCCGAGAGTAACCACGTTCAATCAGCCAAAGTTTCTCAATTTTTTAACTCAATTATTTAACTCACAAGTTTAATCTTCTCATCTTCAAATTAGTTCCAAATATAAAAAAAAATCAATAATTTTCAATTTATTTTTTTCAAAATTCTTTTATAAGTTTGTATTCGTCAAATGTTATTTTTTAAAATATTCTTTACATGTAATCTTGTGGCTATGTCAATTTGCCGTGATTATTCAATTCATCACATTCACATGTATAAGATAAAATTGTGGACATTGCCTCTATATACTTTTAATCCGACTACAAAAATAGTGATGTTATATTTGATTATTTAAGGCAACGCCAGTAATAGATAATCCCTTAATTGGTACGGCAGAAATAGACACGCACTTAAGCCAGTTTATAATTATTTTCTAAATTAAGAAGTAAAATATATTGTAGATATTTATTTTCCAAATCAATAAAAGAATGTAAAATATTCCTTGTTAACGATATTCGGCAATTAACAGAGAATGTAATACCAATTAAGAAACAATACTTTTTTAAAAGTATTATTTATAATATTTGAGGGACCAGCCCTGCGTTCTTTTTCTTTAATATTACAAGAAAAATAAATTTTTTACGGGATTGATACGGCCGGCGACAAAGGCCGGGCAGTGATATGTATTTTCGTCATATCAATGGATATCTGAATGATTCAAGATGAGATTCGTTCGGCGAACGTGGCCGCCCTCGGCCGAAACACGCCGGACTCTCTCTCTCTCTTTCTTTCTCTCTCTCTCTCTCTCTCTCTCTCTTTCTAAAGGATCACTTAACCGTACGTACAATTTCTGCCGTGTATCTAAGTGCGAAAATCCACGTGTGCTGCGTGTACTACTGATATTTAACAATCAAAAAATCGCTATCTGTAAAATTGAAAGCTGCTGTTTTTTTCCCCCCTGTTATTAACGCTGCGCCGCTGCACCATCACTTTGTCGCAGAGAGTTAACTACGAGTCGTGTGTGTTTAATTGTTACATCGAATGTATTCGGTATCGGTTACAGCCTAAAATACTGAGCAAAGAACGAATAGATCAGCGATCGGTGATCCACGAACGATCTCGAGAAGCGCCATCACCGTGAATTCGGTTCCTCTTTCTCTCTATTTCTCCTTCTCTCTCGTCTCGTGTATAGCACATAAATGTAAAGGTCTATGTAAATTGTCGCGGCCGAGATAAGATCATTTAGGATCATCGATCGCCGTTTTCCAGCCTCTTTAACGGATTCGCGACGTTAATATGGCGGAAATAGAGACGTTGCGGGAGGACAAAAAACGAAAAGAGAGGAAGAGAAACCAACGTTTACGCGTTTAGGAGCAATAGCGACTCGAAATGCTTTGTAAAAAATTTATAGAATATATATATATACATCTATGTTTCTTTCTGTATATGTATATATATGTAGAAGTATATATTATTGCGTAGGCATTATGTCGTCGGTGTTAATTTCTTCGTCTCTTCCGCGTCGCGCTTGCGCTTCTTCCATTGATACATAATACATAATAATAATAATAATAATGATAATAATAATAATAACAATAATAATAAGAATACTAATTATAATCGTAATAATAATAACAATTATAATAATAAGAATCCTGATAATTGTCTAATATCGTCTGCGCGACATGTTCTCTCGTCGCTCTTTGTATAAAGGACATTGGCTACTTTGTACGGCGGCTGAAGTGGGAAAAAATTCCGTTTCTTTATGTTTCCCCGATGTTTCGGCTTAAATTACTACGTGATAATACCTTTCGGCACTGCGAGACTTGTTTTAAATACCATATCGTCATCTAACGTCGCCTATAAGCAAGAATAAAAAAGAAGGTGCTCTCTCTCTCTCTCTCTCTCTCTCTCTCTCTCTCTCAATCAAATTTTAATTAACCCGCTAGAAATTAAAACCGTCCATTTGAGAACTTTTCAGTCGACAGTAAAATTGTCGAATGAAAAACCGCACGTTTTCGTCGTATTTAAATTCAACGCGGCGAGAACGCGACTCGGAGGCTGCTTGATTATTTGTACGATAAATCAGCGAGATTGCTCATTTCTCTCCGCGTCTTTTTAATGTTCACAAACTTTTCTTCTTAGCCACATTTATCGTAGAAACATTTACACGTTGAAATCTAACGAATTAAGTAATTTTCTTCAGCTAACCAAACCCTCAAGACGAAATGGTTCGCGATTTCATTCTTAATTATTTTTTGCGATCTTTTTTTCCGTCAAGATTTCCGCGCTATTATCGCGCGATGTATTTATGTATATACTTTCTTTCGCCTTTAACATGCCCCTCTTATGATATACAGCGCATATGCATGTGTTAACGTGTAAATATATATAAATAATCATTTGCGGTCCTGTGTGAGTAAAATAATTGGCGTCTAATTGGCGAGATACGAGATATATTTTTTTTCTATTTGCTTTTTATCGACGCATAAAAAATCGATCTGAAGGAACGCATTTTAAATTGCATATTGAATTCTTGCCGCTGTCGGGAACCCCGAAGAGACGAGCGCTCGTCGACCGTCGAAGCCGAAAAACGTTTGAAGAGCCTAAATCGTACGATGATGCTTAACAAGCGATCGCTTAATCCGAATTAGCAGAATGAAACGAGACATGGCGGCGGTATAACGCGAGAAATATTTCATAAATAAAAAAAGTACACTTACGTTATGAAAATGTACATTTCGGCCGATATCCTCTCCGCTTGAGTGCTTAACATACGGAGAGCATACAGTCGTCTTAGTCTCGAGTACAAAAAGTGATCTTTGCGCTGACGGATCTGTCGATAGCTTAGAGCACATGCAATTGAAGGAAGCATAATCTACATTTTAATCCTTTTTTTTTTAGAAAATGTCAAATTTTTTCGATTTTTAACGCTTAATATTAATATCTTACTGTAATATGATTTCTTCTTCTTGTTTTTCTATTATAAAGCATCTATCATTCACATTTTTTTAATTATTATTGTAATTATTGTGTTTTATATTCTTTATATCGTAACTCTCGAATAAAAAATTTTAAAAATTTCGATGTATAGATAGCTTTTGCTATGCCTCAATTTTCATCAGGTTCTTATCACTTTTCTCAATTACAAGGTGAGTTACTAACAAGTGGATTCTTATCTTCAGGCTCATACGCTTCCTTCAACGGCACACGCTCCACGTCGATCTGCAGACGTCGCGTGATGTCGCTTGCGGCTCGGTTGTGAGATCCGACTTCGAGACAAGCGTCGCGAGATGACTATGATTGGGTTAGAAACAAGATTCCCTACGGAGGACTTGAACGGCCCCAGTCGCGCTTTCTCGTTGCGACTTTCCGCGTCCTCGTCTCGCAAAGACGATCGTCCTCGCGGCGATGTCGCAGCTCTCAGCTGACAGAATGATTCCGCGTGCGCGATTTCCCTTAACTGCCGTGATCCTGATCGAGCTCGTCCAGCGACTCGAGTCTGGCGATCGGCGCCTCATTTATCGTAAATTCCCACGACATATCCTCGCTGGTTTGCCTCGAGGAGTCCTGCTGCCGGGGTCCGCTCGCCTGATGTCCCCCGCTTCCGCCCTCCTGTCTGCCCTCCGATCGGCTCGACCCGGATTCCGCTCCGTTGCCGCCGCGATGATTCGGGTCTTTGCGCGTGTCCCCGCTACGAGGACGCTGGGCAGCACTCCGATCTCCCGTTACCGAGACCACGCAGCTCCACGGGTCCTCGCCCTCCGCCTCCGAGCGTTTGTTGAACGAGCTGTATCTATCGCAAGGCACGCTTTCGTCAACGCGTGGTAGCGGTGTTCTCATCGACATCGAGCGCGCGGTTACTAAGCGTGAACGTAATTGATCGAATCGATGCCCACGCTTAGCAACCAGCGCACAGTGGCGCATTTTTCGATCCACGATTTCGAGAGCAAGATAGAACAAATGGAGGAAATTATCGTGAGCGAAGTTACGGGAATATAAATGCGCCACTGCCAACACACTTCCAGCTTTCGAATTTCCGAATTTAAACTGATATCGTCCGAATTTTAAATTTTGATCGACCTTTCTACGCCCTTCGCCAAACTACCTACCCACTCCTGTATTCGCCTCTTCGGAAGGCGGCAGGCTGACTGTGCCAAGCGTGTCCCTGGTGAGTCTGCTGCTGCGTGGTGGTCGGCACCGCCAGGTCGACCGGTTGGCTCTGCGACCTCGTGGGTCCGGTTCGAGCACCGTTCAGCGCCGTCTGCAACGCCGTCGCGAGCGCGGACGTTTCCGACGTGACGGTGAGCCGCGACGTGCCCGACGACGTGGAGGTCGGCTCCCTCGTGGTAGGTCTACTACAGAGCGGAGTGGAACTCGTATGAGCGGAACGACGCGCAGACCACAACCTTTTTTTCGTAAGTAAGTAACCGCTAAAGATAGCTGAGCGAGATACATACTTGAAGCGTACGTGATTATGTACAGTGGGATATTCGACAGGCCTCTAATCCTCTAAAGTTTCGACCCGAGCAGTGTCACGGGGCCCCCGCGCGTTCTGGGACCGATTTGGGGCTATTCCTCTCGGCTTCGATCGAGATCGAGATCGCGAATGAAAGGCGATGACGAGAATGATCTATCTAAACGTGCGTAAAACATGATATTCATACCGAGAAGTCGGTTTCGCCAACGTCGGTCGACTTTAATCGCAGCCGAGTTTCACGAAGCCGAGTTAAGGTCAACCGACGTTATTGAAATTACTGTTAAACAAAGTATTTTCTTCGACTGCTTTAGAAACAATGGCTAATCGAGCGGAGAATATTTACTGAGATATATACGCCAGCGAGTTCAGACAGAAGGAAAAGAGAGAAATACATGCAAGTTAGAAGTACTTTTCGATAAAAGAAAATACTTTTTACTTTTTACTTCAACGTGATGCTTCTTACTTGCATTCCTAAATATTCGATGGAGCATGTGGATATCAAAGCTTTCAAGGCGTGCGATGTTAGAGATGACAATATCTATGAGAGAAGAGTATAATACATACTACGGTTCTAAAGATCATAAAGTCAGCAAAAAAGTCTACATCTTTACTTTTTACACAATTGTTGATGTTAGTAATTAGCGCGCTCCAATTATTTATCTCTTATGCTTGAAAAATGATTGAAAAAAACATTTTTTCAATTTTGATTATGATAATTTATGATAATGTCATTCGCTTGGACTCGATTCCCGTGACACTGCTCGCAACGGTTTCAAAGAAGAATACGTGATATTGGTCACCTTCGGAACTTGTCCAACTTTTCCAAAATAAAAGACGCCGAAATCAAATGCAACTGATCCAGGGATTTCGAAAGAAGGCTTTCCAAGAATAATAAAATATCGATTACTTCCTGCGATTCAAGTTGCAATTCGGAGTCTATTGTTCGCGCAAATATTTCAAACCCTCTATTTATCGCGCATGACAGTCGTCGTAAAACTACTGCTAACGTCGAGTATCAACGCGCGAGAAACGAGCATGATTAATCCGATTAATCATAACCGACTAATTAGACCGAAATTTAATGTGCGAGATATCACGTTTCGTTCTTACCTGAACAAACCGTGCGACGTGCTGGGCTGGATCTTTCCGTTTCCGTTGCTCACCGGAACTGTCGGAGGTTGCGGCTCGCTCGCCGATCTCTGGACCAACGCCGGTGCCCGGCTGCTCTGCCGCGTGCCGGCCGGCGCGGTTCCCTGCATCATCTCGATGCTGGAGCTATCCCTCGACGAGTCAAGAGTCTGCTGGAGCAAGCTCAGAATCAACCGGATATCACCGGCCATCGAGTGCTCCAGCGAGGACATCTGTCGCGACAGCTGATCGATCCTGCTGTTGATCTCCTCCAAGGGTCGGCCTGGGCCGCTCTGAAAGTCGCCTGGAAGGAGGAAACGTTTTCATCTCGCGACAAACTCGATCTCAATCGCTTGAGATTCAAACACATCGGATCAGGATCGGTACAGTGCCGATGCTACGCGATTACGATGATGATAAGCATACGATGACAGTATAAGGCGACGGAATTTAATATCGGCGAGTGACAAGTGAGAAGTGAGTAAGTGATGCAAATTGCTTTATGAGATTAAGAGAAATGAGCCCCTACCATGGGAATGAGGATGCTGCGGGGGCGATGGTGTGGTGTAGTGGCTTGACGTTGTCGAAGTGGGATGAACGACGTTTTGACTGAGGCAACTCTCGCCAGCGGCGGAACTCCGGCGCGCCGGTTTCATCAGCGGCGTGGTCACTACGTTTAAACGCCACCAGTGAGTACCACGAGTTACAAGGAGGACGTCACAAGTACTTCTCTCGCAAACATTTAACCGCGCTAGAGATTCTCTACTACTGGCGTGCGGCGCGATCTCAAAGGATGCAAGTAAATCGGTAGTCATACTCTCTTCTGGATTCTGGCGAGCGGTGTAGCGGGTATCCGCAGGTCGGGGACTTTAAGTGCGCACGATTGGGCCGATCTACATTTGGTACTCGAAAAATCCGGAGTACTTACTTTGTTTGGCGAGGTAATCGTGGCTGGTAAGCGGCTGCAGATGAATCTTGTGCTGACGTAGATCCGGTATGCTGCGCTTGAGATGGGTTAGCATGCCTGAACAACCAGGTTTCAAGGTGTTATCGAATTTGGGACTCAAACGAAAAGCAATACACAGAAAGGGGAGAAAGAGAGAGAAAGAGAGAGAGAAAAAGAGAGAAAAAGAGAGAAAGAGAAAGAGAGAATACAGCTATAAAGAGAAAAGAGAAAGTTGCACATCGGTAATAAATGCTAAATAGATCAAAAGAATTGATAACGTAATGTCACATCGAGCTGGAGGCAAAATACATTTTAGAAAGCCTACGAGAAGGATGATACGTTTTTAATATCGTCACAAATTATGAGCGAATTTGAGTAATTGATTTTAACTCCATACTTATGTAGTGCATTTAACGCTAAATGTAATTATCTTCTATCTCTGTTCTATAAGTTTTATGTTAAATAACCGAAATTTAGGATCACGAATTTAACGCTAACATTTTCGGATACACTTAGCGCTAAATATATGACATTAATGCGGGTGTCAATGTTTGCAATCAACTTTTACAAGAAATGTTATCATTAGTTAATAAAAAGAAAACATTATAAACGTTCGAAATTGAAAATCTCGAGCTGATTGTATTAAAAGGAGATACCCTGTTTTAAGGGGAATCTATATCGTCGTGCAAAGAACAACATTCCTCAATCAGAAAATTGGAAACACGAGAGAGATCGAAACATCGTTTCCCCGAAACAAGGAAAGCCGATCGATAGAGATAATGGCCACTTACCAGTTATCGAGTTTAAGGTCGAACTTCTCTGCTTGGGCTCGTCAAATTCCAGATTCAACGGCGTCACGTCCTGACCGGCTTTGTCCGTGCTGAATTCTAAGATACCGTGACCGCTACCTTTGTGATCACTGCAAGAGAAAATAAGCCTGAAGAACTGCTCTGCGCCAGAGATTTAGCAAACACATCGCTTTCATTTCTTTCGAAATCTTTTATTATTGCTAATCTTAACCATTTTATTAATTGAATATTAATTTTGCTACTGATAATAACTTGAGATGTAAATACAATAAAAAAAAACGACGGTGATCTTACTAATCTTCTTGGTCGTCTTGCAAGGAGTCTTGTCGACCTGTGGGGATAAGATTTGTGCCAGGACCACCGGGTCCTCGACGGTATCTTGGTGGACGGAAAGCGAATCGCCTGGCGTCGATGTCGACGTCGGTCGGAGTGCTGACAGGAAACCTTGCTGATATTGGATCGACACCAGCCTGCTCCTCCTGAAGATGAATGACAGTCTGACGTCACTCGAGACTCGGAATATATATCAGTCCGACGCAAATATAAATTATCATAGTTCGAATTGCAAAAATAAAGTTAAAATAAAAGTACAAAAATTATATAAAATATAATGTAATATAAAAATTTTCCTTTTTAAATTCATTATAAAATACAGGTGAAATTTGATGCAAAAAAAAAGAAAAAAAATTATATAATTTCAACAAAAATAATTACATATGAGGAGAGCCGAGAATAACACTCACGTCTCGCATGTTGAAAGTGATCTCGAGATTTTGGCTGAAGTGGTTGGAGAACTCCGGATAAAGTGCCAAAACGTCAAGCAGGTCATCCCGATGGATCTTGTGAAGGTCGCAGTAAGTAAGAGCGCGAACGTTACAGGATGACTTCCCGACTGTTGGATAAATACATGGATTCTCGCCGAATATATCATCCTTCCCCAAAATGGCCATCACGATGTCATCCTTCAGAATTTCAATACTCCCGCGGGATATAAAATACAGGGAAGTCAGCACGTCTCCGCGATGGACTAAAGTATCACCCGGTGGTGCGTGCGTTGTCTTAAACTTTAAGGATAATGCCCTGTTTTGCGAGAAAAAGCGTCCTTTTATCATAACGAATCGTGTATACGTAAAAATTACATATTCGCAAAAAGTAAGAAAAATTATTTGGCATATAAATTTAAAAATGATTTCGCAGGATGTTCGACGCGGAAAGGCAATTACCTTAAACAGCCTGGACTAGCCCCTTCAAAGGCTCGGCAATTGTTTAAAAGATTCCTATTAAGATGAAGACAGATGTCGGCCTGAAGGCACTCGGGGAATCCTTTCAGAACACTGTTCATGTCGATCCCGTTTGTATACGTCCACGCGTGTTGGAAGTACTCCTCCAACCGCTGGCGGAGCGGATTCGGGATCTGGTGGAATCTTATAAATTCTCTGACCCTGAGCATCTGCGTGTGGTACCGGGCAGTGCCGCTATACAGCCTCTGGATGATCGCCGATACATTACCGAAGATACTGGCGTACATCAGAGCTGAAATCGTCGCATCATAAAGCATATTGCGAATTCATTATTCAACGGCGCGGTATTTAGCGATTTCGGATACAGATTGACTTTCCTATCGCTCATTTCGTATGGTATCAGAAAATCGACAAAAAAGAGTGTCTCGAAAAGAAGCAAATGTTAAAATTTTTAGCGTAAAAATACATTTCGCTAATATTTTTCTTCAGTTGATTATTTAGTTAGTTTGGCCTATATATTTTTATTTATTCGTGCCATTATTTTTAATCACATCTAAACGCGTGTGCCTGCGTAATGATTTGTCGACTCACATCCGATCAACATGACGATTATTGTAAAGATTTTCTCAGCGTCAGTATTGGGCGCCACATTTCCGAAGCCCACGGACGTGAGGCTGCTAAAGGTGAAGTAAAGCGCCGTGATATAGCGACTCTGGAAAAATTACATTGTTACGTGGGGCAAAAGGGGTCACGTGTCGCCATTAACATTAGCGATCTCAAATAGAGCGTACTCGAAAGAAGCTCGCGCGGATGGCTTACTTTTATGCTCGGTCCACCGGTGTTATTGTGAAAGTAAAATTGATGCGTGTCGTTGGCTAGAATGTCCAACCAACCAACCTTGCTCTTCAGGGTCGGCCGCTCGGCGTTTCCTATGGCGTACCTTTAAAAAGCGCGAAATGTCGGAATTTTAAACAATGTAATGTAATGTTTCAAAGTTTTTTAAATTAAATCTTTTAATTAAATCTTTCAATGGCAACTCTTCAATGAAATATTTCCTGAGAAATAATATTTGAGCTGGTCAAAGAAATTATACTTGAAGAAATATATATCGATGTAGAAGTAAAAGGTATGTTTTCAAAGATACACAATTACTTACCATATGCACGCCATCCAATGAGCAATAAGGGCAAAAGTGGCCATTAACAGTAACAAAACTGCAGCACCATACTCGCTGTATCTGTCGATTTTTCTGGCCACTCTGACGAGACGTAACAGACGGGCTGTCTTCAAGAGTCCGATCAAGGTCGTCGTCTGAAAATAATTCGTCATTTTTTCCATCTCCCGATTCTGCGAGCCCGAAAAACATCTCTCGACTCCTAGTCTTCACTTTCGATACACAGAAATCGGTTTTGTACAACATCATCCGTTACTACTTAAATGCCTGCTGATGCTTTGTTATCAGAACGATAACACATAAATACTTCGTGAATAGATATAAACCTGTTTGTGCAAGAATTGTGCTTCTTTGTAGCAAAATGTGTTCACATAAATAACATTTATATAAGACAAATGAAGATTTGGACATTCTTAATTTAAAATTATTTTTCAATTTTGATAGATGATCGATTTTGCATAAAGTAAGGTTTGCAATATATACACAGTGAGCTTATCTCTTCTATTAAATGTGCCTCGCATAAACAGACATTTATCAGAAATCTAATCATTCATGTGAAGGCCATTTCCATGTTGGAAGTGTCATTCTTGTCGGAAATCGTCACTCCGGCTGCACATCAATCGCTGAAACGGAGAAAGCTGTTCGCCGGCACATCGCGAAATTCGTACAGAAATGCGCGCGTGACATTTCGTCGAGTTCCAAATACCAAAGTTGAATTCGTCGTCTTTGCGGTGTGCCGCTCCTCGGAGCCAATTTAGACGCAGACCTAAATTTAAGGGCCGGGACGATTTTCAGAGAGCATATTTTACGTCGTCGTTGCTAGAGCGTCGTGTTCGAGAACACTTTGGAAAATACTGAAGTGACGACTTCCTTGTTGCAGAGCAATTGTCGCAAGCTTGACTCGTATCGAGTTATGTGCAAATAGCATATGTAATTGAGAAAATAGATGTAGAGATTTATCGGCTTCCAAGATACATCAAATTACGCAGCATTTGATATACCTAATCCGAATAAGATATGATAATAATTACAAATCGGTAAGCATTCGCGGAAGTGAAAGAAAACTACTCATGAAAATTAATTTGCGATCAATCTCGGAAAGAAACGCTTTGCGTGAACGGAGGTACTCATGCTTCCTCTTCGTTCTTACCTGCCGCAAATTTTTAAATTTTCCATAGAAAAAGGAAATATGATTTAAATATTGAAACAATAACAAATGCAAATCTACATCGAGCAAACATTTTTACACTGAAAGAAACCGAGCTCAGCATTTTTTACGACTATCATGCAAAGTTTGTTGCGATCTAACCGAAATAATTCGATTGATCTGTAATGCAAATTTTGCATGCGCTTGAAGCACTCTCAGCGCAATACAAATACGTTCGCAAACGAATAAAAGTATTGTTTTTCGAACGTGATTTTTTTAAACACAACTCAGTACACGTTCGAGGAAGAAAAACGAGGCACAAAAGCTATAGAAACGCACATCATTTATATACAAAAGTTCTTGGATGTGTATTAATTGAAGGAGCAAGTATGTAAAAAAAGTTTTAAAAATTATTAAAAAACTTGTTAAAAAATCTGGGTTTTAAAATTTTCATTATAATTAAAAAAAAAAGTAATTGATATTGATTTACAGAAAAAACTCAATTTTTATAGAAAATAAAATTCTTTTAAACTGTTCCACTATTTGTTTGCTCTTTTAAATGTTATAAATATAGAACGTAAAATTCTGTCAAGCACAGAACAAACACACACGCACGCGCGCAGACAAACACACACACACACACACACACATACGTTAAACCGGACAAAATGATCAGTCAGAAAAAGTTTTTTTTGCCATTCGGAAATATGACTACAATTTTTTTACAGCTTGCAAAAAAAGGCATAATAAAAGAATATAAAAGAAGCTCGATAACAGAACGATAGGACCAACATATTGGAACAAAATCGAGAGAGAGAGAGAGAGAGAGAGAGGAAACAGCTGAAGCATACGCGCGATTGTTGATGAAATCGCGATGGTTTAATCGAAGTGTTTTCATCGTGTCGTTATTGATTACCATTGGCGATCAATACAGGTCTGCTCGTGTAAACGTTCGCGACCGATTGTATGTGTATTATATATGTGTTCAATCCATGTTCTGTTAAGCTTTCGTCCCGTCTCGAGCGATTTGAGATTACGTCCGATGAAAACGTTATAGTTATTATAAGTTTATTGCATCTCTCAACATTCGTTAAAACATAGTCCGTGTTAGACAAAGTCACGATTAATTTAGAAAACGTACAACTGCATATACATATGCCAATGAAGATTTGAAAGCGCGCGTGTGTTGTGTAGAATTCATATTTTTGCCTGTGGATCCGATAAGAGTGATAACAAAAAAATACTCTTACAAAATTGAGGCAATCGTAAATAAGCGAGTGCATCCTGCAACCCCAAAGAAGAAATAAGTTGCGCGAATAAAGCAAGCTCAAAGTCGATTTACTTGCTAGAAACAAAACTCGACAAGCTGGATGCAAGAGGGAATAAATAATGTAGACAAACTATATAAAGGTACTCGTCGCAAGATTCTGCTAAATTCGTGCTGTCGGCACGAATTATGTTACACGAGGCTCAATATCTGATGAGAAAGTGTCTATATGAAAAAAGTAGCTAACTAATAATTCTCGCCAGATATTGATAAAATCGATCATGTGATAAATATGATATCAATTTTTCTAATTTTAATCTTGCTGTTCTGTGATAAAATTCAAAATTTTTTTTGTAAGTGAAAATTTTATACGCGCATCTGCGCCGAGATATTTGCGGATTTTGACATTTACATAACTGAATATTAATATTTTTTTCAATTTAACATTATGTAAATATCAAAAATTTGCATTCGCACGGACATTATCCAATTGTCAGTTGTGCAAAATTCAGACGTTAACAATTCTTCACACAAATCGATTTAATAAATCGATTTTGCGAGATTGCATAAGGGGACAAAGGTACAAAGGTACACAAAACGCTTTTCAATGGCGTAATTTTATCCTATACAATTCAAATCTTGCATCAACGGGCCTGGACTCAATATAAAAATCAAAAAAGAAAAAAAAACATGCACATTCTTCCACGATTCGTTATTAGTAAGTTTAGTATACCGTACATGTGAGAATAGAGTTGATGAGAACCCTGTCTTATTGTTTTGTAATTACTTTTTTTACAGGAGAAAGTAAAAGTCTAGAAAAAAAAACAGCAGAGCAAAGATTTGCCATCAACTTTATTCGAACTTTCTCGGCACAAAATGGGGTTGCAGTGATCGAGTGAGGTGTTTGTATGTGTGATGAGTCACTTGAAGACTCTTGATCGCTGTGATAACGTCGAGAGGGGATGGTTCATGTTACAAGAGAAACTGTGCTAAGAGTATTTAAGATGTGTAACATGTGTAAGCCGTTTGTACGTGGAAGAAAGAGAGAGAAAAAGAGAGAGAAAGAGAGATAAAGAGAGAGAAAAAGAGAGAGAAAGAGAGAGAGAGAGAGAGAGAGAGAGAGAGAGAGAGAGAGAGAAGAAGAGAGAGAGAGAGAGAGAGAGAGAAGAAGAAAG